ATCTCACACTTCTGGGCTCAAGTGATTCTCTTGCATTAGACTCCCAATGCACTGGGATTACAGGTGTGAGCCACCATGCCTAGCTGTAAGAGCATTTTTAATGTAATTTCTATGACAGTTTTATTTTTCCTGTGAATTTAATTGTGGTGTATCTATGCAGCTGTAGTCATTTTGTCTGTAAAATTTTGTAATTCTTTTTTTTTCCTAGCAGTTCCTTTTTAAAAAAACATTTTTTTTTTTTTTTTTTTAAATAAAATAAAGATGGGGTTTCACCATGTTGGTCAGGCTGGTCTTGAACTCCCGACCGCAGTACTTCTCATTGAGGGTGCTGGGGAGTGGATTTTTTCCCCCTGGGACATTTTACAATGTCTGGAGAGGTTTTTGATTGTCACCACAGTGAGGTGTGCTACTGGCATCCAGTGTATGGATGCCAGGGATGCTACTAGACATTCTACAAGGCACAGGACAGCCTTCTTTTTTTTTTTAAAAAAAAAGAGATGGGGGCTCGCTATGTTGCCCATGCTGGAGTGCAGTGGCCATTCACAGGCGCAATCCCGCTACTGATCAGCACTGGAGTTTTGACCTGCTCTGTTTCTGACCTGGGCTGGTTTGCCCCTCATTAGGCAACTTGGTGGTCCCCCACTCCCACGAGATCACCATATTGATGCCAGACTTAGTGCGGACACCCAGTTGGCATAACACATTACAACCCAGAACTCCCGGACTCAAGTGATCCTCCAGCCTCAGCCTCCCTAGTAGCTGGGACTACAGGCACATGCCACTGCACCTGGCAGGACAGCCTTCTTAACAAAGAATTTTGCTGTTAACATGTTGGGCTAGTAATTATCAAGGAAAGTAAGAGTTTGATTTGTATTTCAGTGCAATACAAAGGAATATTTTTTCTCAGATGCTGTAAGTAAGGGAGATAAAGGGCCATGTTAAATTTTTTATTGTGCAGTATTTGTGGGACCCAGAAATCCTGAATTTCTTACTACAAGGAAAATAATAAGATACCATCTTATCTTTAAAAATTCCAGAGGGTGTTGTTTACAGAGGTAACAGTATCTATCAGACAACTCCCCAGGCGGTATTTTTATTGAGACATTCTGATCAGCAGTTAATGGTAATAATGTATGTGAATCACTTAAGTTTTAAAGTTTGGTAGAGGAAAATAAAGACAAATGCTTTTCCTGCCTAGGGAGGCATTTAGTATAGTCTAATGTCTGCCAACATTCACTTAATTTCTTCATGATTCTTACCAAATCTAGATTAACACTGTGGTGTTATTTACTTAATGTTTTTCACCAAATTTGATTACTTTTTTGTTTGTCATGAAAGTCATGGGTTATAACACATATTAATATGAAAACGTAAGTTAAAAATTCAATTGGTAAGTTAATGATAATCATCCCATTCACTGTATGCACCACCTTTGGAGAAATGCTGGTAAAATAAAAAGAGAATTGCTTTGGAATCAGGCCTGGTTTGGAATCCTGACTCCATCACTTACTTTTTCTGAGCAATTACCTGAATCATAGAGTGGGGAAAATAATATGTAAAGCGTTGATGTGTGTTTTAATTAAATGATAAAGTTTGTAAAGTACTTGGTTTGAATATGTTTAAGAAATGGTAATTTTCCCTTACTCTCTAAATTACATGGTAAGTCCCACCCCTCTCACACCTCATCTCTGTACTTTGATTTTATTGTCGATTGTTCTTGGACAATTTACCTCTATAACTAGCCCTTTTCGCACCAGAATTATCACTAGTAATTGTGCCTGTATCAGAACTTAATTCAGCAATTTTGGTCTTTGTTGATGAACTAGTGTACTTAATTTAATAACCTTCATGTTGCATTGACATTTTAAACCTGTGATTTGTCTCTTTATTGTGAAAAAATTGTGTATCAGATATAATGTTGTGAGACTTTGTCTTTAAGGTTAATAAAGAGGTCTTTTAACTTTTACATAAGTAAAGCTTGTCAAGGACATACTTTAGGAAATTATAACAGTTACAGTATTATCCTAGGTTAGATTTTGCTAATGAAGATAAAGCTTCTTCCATCTTGATCTAATGTAGCTGTTAAAAGAAAGTATTTAAACCAGGAGAAGGTGGCTGAACTTGGAAAATTTTTCATATAAGAAAAATTTGGGCCATAAAATTTAAGTTGGCCATTTATGTTTTTGGTGTGATCTCAGATACTTAAGTGGATTGACTTTCTTGATTTTAAAATAACAGAGACAAAACACCATGTTAAAGAAGAATAGCTATTACGTATTAATTTGTCAAATTATATACTACCTAATTAAGATATAAATTGTAAGTAAACTTGAGTAAAACTTTTTAGATTAACTTTCATGGAAAATTGTTCTCTTAATTACTGAATGAAAAGTTAACTATAAGGCCTGGTGTGGTGGCTCATGCCTGTAATCCCAGCACTTTGGGAGGCCAAGGTAGGCAGATCGCTTGAGGTCAGGAGTTTGAGATCAGCCCAGGAAACTGGACAAAGCCCCATCTCTACAAAAAACACAAAAATTAGCCATGTGTGGTGGTGCATAGCTGTAGTCCCAGCTACTCGGGAGGCTGAGGCAGGAGGATTGCTTGAAGCCTGGGAGGTGGAGGTTGCAGGGAGAGTTCACACCACTGCACTTCAGCCTGTGTGACAGAGTAAGGCCCTGTTTCAAAAAATAAAAATAATAAGTAACTATGATACAAATTTTTGCCAGGCACGGTGGCTCATTCCTGTAATTCCAGCACTTTGGGAGGCCAAGGCAGGTAGATCACCTGACCTGAGGTCAGGAGTTTGAGACCAGCCTGGTCAACATGGTGAAACCCCATCTCTACTAAAAATACAAAAATGAGCTTGGCATGGTGGTGCATAACTGTTGCCCCAGCTACTTGAGAGGCTGAGGCAGAGGTTGTGGTGAGCTGAGATCATGCCACTGCACTCCAGCCTAGGTAACAGAGTGAGACTTTATCTCAAACAAACAAACAAACAAACAAACAACAACAACAAAAAATATATATATATATATGAAATATATTCAAGAAGTATGCCTAATGAACCAGAACAGCCAGTCCACCCCTGCCGCCTGCTTTTTTTTGTGTAGGAGATTTCATACGAATTTTCCATTATCTTTTTTCCCCCATCATCAGATCTTGTTTTGACATTCTGAATCTGGAAATTTGTTTTATTTAGCAGTGTTTATATTCTTTTATGAAGGATTATGTGTAACTTTAGTGTATGTTTTGTTGTACCCTTTTTTTTTTTTTCTCTTGTTTCCCAGGCTTGAGTGCATGGTGCGATCTCGGCTCACCGCAACCTCTACCTCCCGGGTTCAAGCGATTCTCCTGCCTCAGTGTCCTTAGTAGCTGGGATTACAGGCATGCACCGCCACTCCTGGCTAATTTTGTATTTTAAGTAGAGATGGGTTTTTCCATGTTGCTCAGGCTGGTCTCAAACTCGTGACCTCAGGTGATCTGCATGCCTCAGCCTCCCAAAGTGTCGGGATTACAGGTGTGAGCCACCGCTCCCTGCCATTTTGTTGTACTCTTTATTGTTAAAATTGACTTTTTAAAAAATAGGTTTTACCCTTGGAGATGCACTAGTCCACCCTTTTAAAGCCTCCTCTAGTTGCAGTTTTAGCAACTACCAATAGATGGCACAAGTTCCTGAAAAAAAAATTATTTGCCTCCATAAGTTAAACAACTTGACTACTAAATTTCTAAGCCTGTAAAAAAGGTTTTTAAGTTATAGCTATTCTAGGTGATATTGGTGGGGAGGTTATGGTGGCTTAAAAATGTCTGTTACCTTTAGTTTTGCTTTATGGTAAAAGTCTTTTTGCAGTTTTTTAAAATTAATGGTTCTCAAACTCTTAATTGTTTATCAGAATTTATAGACGGCTTGTTAAAAACAGACTGTACAGAGGCTGGGCATGGTGGCTCACACCTGTAGTCCCACCACTTTGGTAAGGTGGTGGCGGGAGGATCGTTTGAGCCCAGGAGTTCAAGACAAGCCTGAGCAATATAGTGAGACTCTATCTTTAAAAAAACCCAAAAATTAACAGGACATGGTAATACATACCGGTAATCTTAGCTGCTTTGGAGGCTGAGGTGGGACGATCGCTTGAGCACAGGAGTTAAAGGCTACAGTGAGTGATGATCACACTATTGCACTCCAGCCTAGGTGACAGAGGGAGACCCTGTCTCTTAAACAGACACACACTCCAAAACACACACACACACACCCCAAAACAGATTGTACAGAATAGTATTTCTAACAAGTTGCCAGGTAATGCTGACACTAATGTTGACAGTTTTAATGGTCTGAAGATCATACTTTCAGACCCTCTGTTTTTAAATTAAACAATCTATGTTTTTTTTAAAAAATAAAGAATATGCCCATTTTCCACCATCCTCATGTCTTTGGTTGTATTTTCATTGACTGTGGTATCTGTACATACATGTTTTAGTGAAGTCATAGTGTGTGTAAATTTTTTTTCACACTCTGCCTTTTCTGTTCCTTACTGCTACTGTCTTATTTCTGCATTGTCTGTCCATTTAACTGTGCTAGAGAATTCTACCATATGCTGCAGCATCATGTGAGAAGGCTATCATGTAGGCCTAAAAAGTGTTGTAATTTGGCCTTTTTAATGTTTTGACTGGTGTCTGGGATGGTCAGTGGATTCGTGGACACTGTCCTTTGTCTTTGTAGTGTGGGGAGTAATCTGGATTCAAAATAAAGCTAATTAAATCATACCTTCTGATAGTAAATGGTATGCGTGAAGAGGTTTCTTTTGTAGCCATATATACAAAAATCTGTTCAGGAGTTTGTGACACATGATCACTTCAGTGTCAGGGGAACCATAGTGAATTTTGGTTAGTTTGTGAAGAGGCCCAGGGAAATAAAAGAAATATAATTGTTTTATTCTGAAAATAAAGATGTCTAAAACTCCATTTTTCTTAAAACAGTTAAGAAATATGCCAGATCTTATTTCCTTTAAAATACAGAACGCTTCATGACTGTGTGTGTCATCCTTTCATAGGAGCCATGTCAATCTGTGTGTTGTTCCAATTCTGGTGTATGTGTGCTGCTGAAGTGAGCACTAGACCTTATTTTGTAGTAGGTAGACAAGTAAATCGGTTGGAAAAACCCATAATTGTATTAAGTACAATACAATTATTGTGGGGTTGCTAATAATAAGCAAAAGAGTCATTTTTGGTTTCACTTATTTTCAGGCCTTGGATTATTTCACTTTTTTGTAATGTGTAACATTTTAGGGCCGGGCGCGGTGGCTCAAGCCTGTAATCCCAGCACTTTGGGAGGCCGAGGCGGGTGGATCACGAGGTCAAGAGATCGAGACCATCCTGGTCAACATGGTGAAACCCCGTCTCTACCAAAAATACAAAAAATTAGCTGGGCATGGTGGTACCTGCCTGTAATCCCAGCTACTCAGGAGGCTGAGGCAGGAGAATTGCTTGAAGCCAGGAGGTGGAGGTTGTGGTGAGCCGAGATCGCGCCATTGCACTCCAGCCTGGGTAACAAGAGCGAAACTCTGTCTCAAAAAAAAAAAAAAAAAATTTTAGAAAATCTGAATATGTACATAATGGACAAATTTACCCATTTAAATATTCAGATTTATATAAATATCTGTTTCTTGGATTAAAAAAGGTTTTATAGTAACTAGTGATAATTTGTCCCTCAAAACTTTGAATTACTTTTTGAGATGAAAATTAATGAGGTTCTGTCACACTGTTAATAAAGATAGCAGTGTCCATTATTTTGTTTTTTTCCACCCCTTCTCTAAAGGGAAATATTCATAATGGGAATGGGGACAAAGCAGACACCATAGCATCTTAATTAATTCATAGTTCTGAAATGTGTATTTTCAAATGTAATTTAAACCATAGTGAGTAAAAATACCTTCAGTAAAATATTTTTAAATTTTAAAAATATGTTTCTTTAACAGGTTTCTATAATCCAGGAACTTGTTACTAATTATGAAGCCTCTCTTAAAACATGTCACTTTTTTAGCCCACATGGTAAGTTTAAATTAGATTGAACTGGAATTTGATGACTCATTTCATTTTGAATTACAGTAATGCTCTTTTACGTATATTATATGTGTGCTAGCTAATGGCTACTTAATAAATAGGTTTCAAATTGATGAATGAAATGAGAACGCTTTCTATCTTACTTAACTTAAATTTTCCATAATACTGTGAGATGGGAGTTAACCTTGTTTTAACACGAGGAAACAGATTTGAGAGCTTGAATGGCTTGCCCAAGACCATGTAGTTAGATTATATTGGAAACTGTTTTTCTTGAGTCCCTAAATTCTTCGCTTTTTCTACCCTCTTATTACATTTAATCCTGTTTAATTTGGCCATTTGTTTCTATATTTGTAGTATTCTATAAATACTAAAATACTCTTTCAGAATTTTTGTAATATTTTTTAAGAGATGGGGTCTCACTATGTTGCCCAAGCTGAACTTCTGGGCTCACGTGATCCTCCCACCTCAGCCTTCTGAGTGGCAGGGACTACAGGTGTGTGCCACCATGCCTGGCTAATTTTGTGTGTGGGTGGGTTTTTTTGTAGAGATGGGGTTTTGCCATATTGCCTAGGCTGATCGTGAACTCCTGAGCTCAAGCGATCTACCTGCCTCAGTCTCTTAAAGTGCTGGGATTACAGGTATGAGCTGCCACACCCTCTTTGAGTATTTTTAAAGCAAATTCCAGACTTAACTGTTTCATTTATAAATACCTTAGTGTGCATCTCTGTTTAAAACACTTAAACAGAAGAAGTCACTGAGTGCCATGTCACACAAAACCTCATACCATAATATCCGATACCCAGTCCACATTCAGATTTCTGCAGTTATCTAAAAGAAGTCTTTGTTTGGTTTATTTGAGTACAGATCCAGTTAAGGTTCATACCAAATATTTGGTTGTTAGATCTCCATAATTTGATTGTTATGTCTCATTATTTTAATCTAGAACAATAACTCTCCCCTCCCTTTCAAAAAACAGTCATTTGGGATATTTGTCTTACATATCCTGTATTCTGGATATGGCCGATTTCTTAATCATGGCATTATTTGCTGTATTCCACTGTCATTCATACTTGTAAGTTGTAGTTAGGTTTACATGCTGGATTAGATTCAGGTTCTGTTTAAATACAGGTGGTGTTTTGTGCTTCCTGTTGTGTTATACTGGGAAGCTTGAGGCATTCTGGTTGTCTCTCTTTTTTGATGTTAATATTGATAAAGATTCAGATGTTTGCCTGTTATACTCATTAAAAAGGTCCTTGACGGCAGGGGACACGGTCTTTCACGTCTGTGATCCCAACACTGTGGGAGGCTGAGGCAGAAGGATCTCTTGAAGCCAGGACTTGGAGGCCAGCCTGGGCAACAAAGTGAGACCCTGTCTCTACAAAAAATTAAAATATTAGCCAGGTTTGGTGGTACTCACCTGTAGTCCCATCTACTTGGGAAACTGAAGCATGAGGATCACTTGAACCCAGGAGTTTCAGGCTACAGTTAGTTATGATCAAGCCACTGCACTCCAGCCTTGGTGACAAAACGAGACAAAAATTTCTTATTGGCCTCTCAGCTATTGAAGATCATTGCCTAGATCCCTTGTTCATTCTGATCCTTTCTTCTGCATTTGCTAGCTGGAATTTTTCTTATAAAGAACTTTCCTACGTCAAATATTTGGTTCCCTTAAAATACAGTTTATATAAGAGGAACAAAACAGATGCTTAACTCATCGCCTTTATTTTATTATTTGTGTTTTAATGTGTGCTATAGTGTGTTTACATTATCATGTTATTTGGTTAGCTGTGCTAGGAGACCTGTTTGTTTTGATGTAGTGTGGGTATATTCACTCTTTCCTTCTCATTTTCATACCTGTATGTCTTCCCTTCTGAAATCCATTTTGAGAGCTTGGTATTTCTTTATCTACTCTTCTGTAGTTAGAGGGTGCAAGATGGGGAACAGGATAGAACTCAGCTAAGTTTATATATGTGACAGCTTTTTTAAAGAGGACTATGCTGTGTTTTTTCTGCTTAGGTTTTTGTCAGATGGCAGGGTTATTTCTACTTTGTCGGATGTATCTTCTTCCTATAGGTCATAGTCTTCAACTTTGGGTATCCCTTATTTAGTACTGAGGCCTGGAAAATGGTAAGCCATGGCAGTTTGGCAGTTCTTGCCTCGCTGAAATCTTGCAGTGGTAGTTAGGAAATCTCTTTCTAAGTTATTTTCCTTGACTTTTCCTAGTCTTACTGCCCTTTTGCTTTCAAGCCGAGAGTTCACAGAATTAGACTGATGTATGTCTTTTCCCCAGCGTTGTTTCTTTGGAGTGAGATTGGCGTTAAAAGCCTGTCAGAGTACAGTCTTGTTTCTCTTCATGGCTGTCACTTTTTGAATTTTATGAAGTCATACTCCCTCCTTTGAAATTAGTAGTCTTTGCTGAGTTTTTCCTGCTTATTATTATTGCAATAGTCATTAATTTCATTATGAAATAGGGGAGAGAAAGTATACGATTTGCTTTACATTCTTCCTGTAATAATTTAATATTTATTTGATTGCAGAGAATGGGGAGAAGGAACCCCCAACAACACTACTTTGGGTTCAGTATTTCCTGGCACAGCACTTTGATAAACTTGGACAGTATTCTTTGGCTTTGGATTATATTAATGCTGCAATTGCTAGTACTCCAACTTTAATAGAATTATTCTATGTGAAAGCAAAAATTTACAAGGTAAAATCTCAATCCTGCTTTTTGTAGTTGAAGAATTCAGCTACTCTAAGAATCCTTGGAGTTCTTTCTTTGTGGAAATAATTTCTAGGGCATCCTGATAATCTTTTTCTAATACTCTAATAATTTTGAGTAGTTTCATTTGTATTAATTGTATAATCAATGTGTAATTAGATGTGTAATCATTTGAGCTATTAGTAAATGCGAACTGTAATTTTGATTTCTAAGTAAATTTGACAGAAATTGTGACAGATTTCTATTTTCCCTGTGCAAATTATTTTCTGCTTTATTGTGTTCATACTCTCTTGATTATAAATCGTGATGTATTTTATCTTTTATAGCATATAGGTAACCTCAAAGAAGCTGCAAAGTGGATGGATGAAGCACAGTCTTTGGACACGGCTGATAGATTTATCAATTCCAAATGTGCAAAATACATGCTTCGTGCAAATATGATCAAAGAAGCAGAGGAAATGTGCTCCAAGTTCACAAGGGTAGGAAATAGCATACATGAGCATGTACTTGTCTAAGTTAAGATGATTTGTGAAGTTTGCCACTGAAGTTCATAATAATTCATTTTTGTTATTACTTTTAAAATCCCATTTAGCCCATTTCCTAAGAATGGTTTCTTACTGTGTGCGTCTGTATATATGTTTGTGGCAGGGGATGGTTAAAAAACAATCGCAAGAGCAAAATATCTTGGTTCATATATAAACAGTATGCCATACTTTAGCACTTACGTGTAAAATTTGATTTATATCTCAAATTCCTTGTCCCCCTAGTAATTTGTGACTGCTTTTTAATTCTGTCTTACTTTTGACTTGCTCATAGAGTTCTTTTTGCTTAGAACTAATTTCTGTGAACTAGTCTCTGTGGCATTCAGGAATTTAAGTTTCCTGAGATTGTTGGGCTACACATCCATTCCTTTCCTTTCCTTCCTTTACCATCCTTTTATATCCGTTCCACGTAGACTTTCTGTTATGTTATAATACATGTTTATGGTTAAAAATGTAAGTAGACTAATGGAACAGAGTAGAAAGCTGAGAAACAGACTTCACATGTATTTGGAAAATGGGATATACCCAGAGATACTGTAAAAATGAGAGATGAAAAGATGTTGCTGGGACTATTAGTTACTCCTATTGGGGGAAAAAAAACCAATATCCCTGTCTTTTGCTGTACACTAATCAGTTCCAGGTGGATTAAAGATCAGATATGGAAAGCAAACCTTTCACACTTATAGAAGAAAACATATAGGAGTTTATCTTTAGGATAAAGAAGCATTCTTTATGCTTGACATAGGAAGCATTTCTTGACACCAGAAGCATAAAGGATAAGAGAAAAATTG